CCTCGCCCCGCGCCCGACCCCCCGTGGTGTCCCCGGCTCGCCCTGCCCGGCCGGTCCCCGCGCCCGTGGCGCCCGCGTCGCTGCCATGCCGTTCCTGGGGCAGGACTGGCGGTCCCCGGGGCAGAGCTGGGTGAAGACGGCCGACGGCTGGAAGCGCTTCCTGGATGAGAGGAGCGGCGGCTTCGTGAGCGACCTGAGCAGGTGCGGGCGCCGGAACCCGCCGGGCCGAGCCCGGGGCGCGGGCGGGGTGCGGCAGGCGGGCCGGGGTCTGGGCGACGGGGCGCGAGCGAGGGGCCGACGGCTGGCTGCGGCGGTCGCCCGAGCCGGCAGTGGGGCTCGCTCCTGATGTGGGGGTCAAGGTCAGAGTCTCCCCGCGGACCGCCTCCACGGGCCGGTGAGAATCTGGCAGTGCCCTGACGTCCAAACCCAGGCGCACAGCCCGGGTCCTCCCTGCCCTCCCCGGAGGCCGGAGTCGCGCAGTTTGCACTCCCGGGTCTTGGGCCGAGGCCGTGCGCCTCGTACCGGGGCGGCGGGGTCCACGGGCAGGGCGACAGCGAGGGACTGGATCGCGCGCCCTGAGTGCTGCAGGTCTATGGGCGAGCACGGGCAGGGAGAACGAGTAGCCCAGAGGGGCAGCCGGAGTGTGCGGGGCAGCAGCGCGCTGGCCGGACCTGACCACAGAGGCTGCGCGGAAGCAGAAGGCAGCGCCCAGCAGCGCTGGCACCTGCTTCCGCAGAGGTCCTTGCCCTCGGCTTTGCACCCCCAGTGGACACCTGTTCCTAGTGGTCTCAGCCAGCTGCAGAAAGACCACCTAGAACTAAGGTCCCACCCAAGCTCCGCCAGTCCTTAGCACGGTGCTGATTAAGTGGTCCAGAATCAGTCAGTCCCCACCTAGACACTGAAGGCTGGGAAGTGCGTCCAGAGGGGCTGGCCCCGCAGCGGTCACCTTTTCTCCGTGTTAAAGCCACGGGCCGCTGCACCCTTAAATTGACTTCAGTGAAGCATTTTGTAAATGGGCCAGGTTCCCACTGACTGAGATTTACCAGTGGTTGTTTGGATGGAGGTTTGGCAATAAATTATAAGAAAAATATCAAGACAATGTGGTTATTTTGGCAGCCTGACCTCCAGGCCTCCCATTTGTTTGTGATCTGTAATGCACCAGATTCCTTCTGTCTCTCAATGAAGAGAAACAGGTTATATAATGCCAGGGCCTGTCAGAAAAGAGAAGAGCATATTAACTTCTCTGAGAAGCTCTATAGGCAGTCTTGTGGGGTTTGGGAGCACTCTAAAGAACTCTTGTTCACAGAAAATCAGACCATTTGTTTACAGGAAAATTCGAAGGGCCACCTGCTTTCACCACACTGTCTTCTAGGGACTAGCTATCAATTGTGCCTAACTGGTTCTGCCTTGGACTAAGTGGGAAGAGGCAGGAGGCAAAGTTTCCTTCTCTGTCCTTATTGCTAAGGATCTAAAACTAATACCCTGCTACTTTTCTATAAACGTTCAGATGTTCTCTAGAAAGGTACCTAGGGATCCAAGCAGCTGTGTTCCAGTGGCACACTGGAATAGGCCCGCAGGCAGCAGTTAATTGCACACAGCAGGGGAGGCTTTATAAGGAGCCTCCATACTCACCTGGTCCTCACTGCTCCGGGAGACCTGCTGGCTGGCCCTGGCCCGTGTCACTCTCCACAGTATGAAGACCTGAAGATCCAGAGGCTTGGACCAGACAGCTTCCCACCCTCGTCCCCTTCCTGGGCCTTCTTGCTTTCCTGCCCTTCATACCTGAGCCAGAGCTGGCACACTCAGCAGGCGTTGTGACCACAGCCCGATCAATGTAGTGACCACCTGTGGCTCTGATGAGTCACAGTTGAGGAATTGTTCGGTAATCTCCTATACTGAGCAGGTGGCTGTTTGTTTGCTGGGTATTTTTTTCTCCAGCAGTTGTAAACAATCCCTTCCTTACTTAGCAGGAGGAGTCAGCCAGCTTCTTTAAAGCAGTTGGTGCTCTGAGGTCTGGGCTTGTGATATGGACAGCCCTGCTGTTTTGCTCTTGGTTTGTTGTGATGTCAGGTTTGGGCTGAGTGCCTGGAGACATAGGTGAACTTGAACGTCCTAGCCTGTTCTAAGGAAACAAAAGACAGCTCTTCAGGAAAGGGGCGGCAGCAGGCCCGGAGAAGGGGCTCCCAGACTGTCTCCACACTGTGTGTCTGCGCACTGCCCAGCACATGCAAGGGCTGAGGGATGCCCCAGGTGGCACCTGGCTTATCTGCACTCTGGACACTGTGGCACCCTCCTTGTGGCCCAGGACCCTGGCCTCCAACAGGAGAACATTTCAGATCCTGTACAGCCAAGGGCCCTCTGAGATCATGGAAGGATTGCTCAGGAGTTTTAAGGCCTTTCTCAACAAGTTGCGACCCAGGAGAATAGAGGAGGAGTGACAAGTGTTAGGTTTGGTGAGGAGGACTTAAATGTCAGGGTTAGAGCAGAGCCTGAATTGGAGTGATACAAGAAAGCCTGGAGGAAGTGGTGGCTGAGGTGGCCCACAGTGCCCTCCTCTCAGCGTCCTGCCCCGGGTGAGTAATCCCAGCGCTTTCCTCCAGACCCGCCCGGCTGCTGCTGCTGAAAAGCGCTCGGATGCTGCTTTACTTTGCGGCTGAGGCTAGACCAGGAAGCAGGAAGTGTACCTTGGTGCCTCAGATAAAAACAATAGTTAAGGGTTTTCGCGTGCTCACCGTGCACAAGGCATTATTTTTTAAGAGCTTTACATACACGGACGCTTGTGTTACCAGAGCAACCCGGTGCTAGCTTCAGTGCTAGCTTCGGTGAGTTCGGCAGTCTGGATGTCTTAGGGCACATTCGCATCAAAAGCTTCCTGGCCTTAATCAAGGCTGCATAACTACTCTGGGGTGGGACATGGTTTTATTAAGCGGCTTTTACTACAAATTAAATAAGAAATGGAACTCTTTCCTCCCCCCATTTTTTTCCTTTAGCTGCTGCCAAAACAGTCTTACTTGGAAATTTTCCACCTTTTCCAAAACCATCTTTAAGTATCGTGGCATGTGTTATATGGTCTTGGGGGCTAGGTGGAGGAGTCTTTTTCTTATTCTAGTTCTGTGCCTATAAAAAATCAAAATTACTAAGAACTGACTACAAAATAGCAAGTTGCTGGCTCTTGTTGAATTTATTAAATAAAGCAGCCTTCTTGAGACTGTTTTGCTTATTAAAAAAAAAATTAAGGTTGCAATTCCTGAATGATGCTAGGTTTTCTTGTTAAAAATTGCAGTAGTGCTGGGGAGATGGCTCAGTGGCATAAGCGCTTCCCTGGCAAGCGCAAGGACCTGAGTTCAATCCCCGGTTCCGCAAAAAAAAAAAAAAAAAAAAAAATTGCAGTAGTAACTTTCCATTGGTTTTGCATTTCCTTGAAAAGGGTAGAATTGAACTCCAAGAACAGCTTCTAACTGAATACGTTATAGCTTAAAAGAAAACATATAAGCAGAAAACACAAACAAACCCCATAGCCCTTCCTTCCAGGCCCTACCTCTGAATTCCAAAGCTAACACCAAGAAAGAAGTGTAGGGTTTCCCTTTGGTTAAAACTTTTCTACGTGTGACAGTGAGAGCCATGACCAGTTGTGTAAAAGCTTCTTAAGCTTGCTTTTGAAATGAGTTGCTGGAGCTTGAATTAAGTTATTATACCTTCTAGGGGAAGACCAAGTGCTCAGATTCCCCAAAGAATGCTTTTCAATTTAAAAAGTAGATAGAGTATAGATCCTCAGAATTTCTAGGAATAGTCCCAGTCTGTGGCACTGGCACTAAGAACTTTCTGCTCCCCTTCAAATATATGACGGGATAGCTTCATTTTATGGTCCTCTGTGTGTGGAATTGGTGCTGCAGGCTTTTGTGTGTTGTGTGGGAGTGGGAATATGGGTGTGTGCTTCAAAAAAATTAGCCTTTGTGTGGTTGTTGGTTTGTTGTTTTGTTTTGACTTTTGTAGTACCAGCATTCGAACCCACAAAGTGTTGAGCTCCATCCCCAGACCTTTTTATTTATTTTGAAATAGAATCTTACTGAGTTGCCCAGGCTGGCTTCAAACTTGCATTTCTTAACTCCTGCCTCAGCCTTCTGAGGAGCTGGGATTACAGTCATGTGCCACCATGTGTGGCTCACGTGGTGTGTTTTGTACATAGCATGGTCTAGCTTTGCTTTCTAAAGCTTTGGTACATCACGGACCGTCAAGGGGCAGTCCATCTTTTCTTTTCTTCAATCCTCATGCAAGTGACAAATATGTGCTGGTGTGTGACACAAAGCCTGGCCACACCCTTTGCCCTTCGCTTGCTTGAGAAAGTGCCTTGGAAAAAGACACCCTGCAATAAGCTAAAACTCTCTTGTTTCCCTGAGTAAAATGGAGAAGGCTGAAGATACAAGGAAACTAGGTAAATGGCCTTAAACTGACCTTTAAGAGGAAAATTAACAAGAGATTGATGAGCCCCTAAGTCCCCACCCCGTGGGTCCTGAAAAGCAGCCCCAAGGTCACTGTTGGCCACTGCGGTAAGCACTTTAGAAGATGCTTGCCCTAAGGAAGTGCTGCCTGTTGCGAGGGAAGGGCGTGGAAAATGGTCTAGGCCACTTCCTACCATGCATACGAAGCATGGAATAGAAAAGAACAGGTAGATTTCATTCTACCCAGCAGGTGTAAAAAGATATAAATCACAGTTTTAAAAAATTTTAACTGCAAAAGAAAAAAAAACCATCATTGCAATAAGTTTGCCTTGGTGACACATCTGAGGAAGAGTCAGTCTGTTGGTCAGGGCCGTGAGCGCGTGCACCGCGTTGCCATCCTTGCGCTCCTTTCCACAGCTCTCTGGAGATCTCCATCTCTATCATTATCAACTCCAGATCTTCCTTCTTGATAGTGACCGTCACCAGTTCCTTCTCCTGCTCCCATGGGGCCTTCTGCTCCAGGGACCGCCTGTTCCAATGACTGACATAGCTGTCCCCAAATTGGGGCTCAGGATCTCCTTCTGCTCTACATAGTCGCTGACCCACCCTAGGTCCCCTGCCCCACTGTCATCCTTCTGCAGTTTCTCTGGGGGCTGCTTGGGCAGGTGGTCTTGGTTCCCAACTCCAGCTCCATGTCTACCTCAGGAGCCATGTCTGTCTTACCTGAAATCACATTTTTAATTCAGCAGAAGGACTCTTATAATTAAAGGACTCTATACTGGTGTTACCAGCAAAACATCCTAATTTATGTTTACCAGTTGTCATTATAAATCCTGCCCTTTATTTTTTTTGTTTGTTTGGTTTTTGGCAGAACCAGGGATTGAACTCAGGCCCTTGTACTTGCCAAGCAAGTGCTTATTCTATTGAGCTATCTCCCCGGCCCCCCAATCCTGCCCTTTGTACCTTATGGGGATCTCAGTGTTTTTCATGAACCCCTTCTGTGGGAACCATCCTGAGATCTACTTAAAACTCACATTGTACAAAAGAATAAAGCTCATCTCTCTCTCTCTCTCTCACACACACACACACACACACACACACACACACACACCAGCTCAGCCTGCTGAGGAGGCTATGCACCAGGCCCAGCCTGAACCTCAGGGGCCTATGAATTGGACTGCTACACCCAGTGTCTTTCCAGCCCTTCTAAACTTAAGCGTTATGAATTTACTTCCCTTTGTAAATACCTGAGGTCTTCATCTCACAGCCTGGCTCCTTGGGTTAGAAAATCTAAATAAGTAGTACCGTCTACTGAATCCCTGCTAGAAGTGACTCTGTTACAACCTAAGTCTCATGCTTGGAAATGTGATTGTTTTAAAGATACGATAGGACCGTTTTAGTTAAAACCAGCTTGGATAACATTATAGACAGGAGAATTGCATGGTATGTAAATTGTAGTTCAGTAAAGTGCTTTTCAAAAGCAGCAGCAGCACCATGGAGTAGACGCGTTTGCAAAAATGAAGACATTGTATGGTACGGTGGCACCAGAACTCGGCCCTGCCCATCCCTTGTGTGTCAAGTGGCATCCCAGTGCCCCGCCTTGCTGTGGGTTAAAGCACAGTGCTGTGTGTCCCATTACAATGGCAGGCCTGTGGGGAGACCCAGAGAAGCGAAGCCCTGGCCCTGTCTTCCATAAATAGACGACAGTATTTGATCCTAATAGAAAAAGAGACGTCTGTGCCTGCGCAGCCTTTTTCTGAGTGAGCACTTTATGGTGAGTGTTTCACTATGTTGGTGTCTCATAGTCCAGGGAGGGAGTGGTACGCAGAGCACTAGCAGGTGAGCTGCCACCTCTCACGCTCTCCCGTCTCTGCGTTCACAGTTACTGCAGCAAGGAGGTGTACAACAAGGAGAACCTTTTCAACAGCCTGAATTACGACGTCGCAGCCAAGAAGAGAAAGAAGGACATACTGAACAGCAAAACCAAAACTCAGTGTAAGCCCCTTGCTTCGAACTTAAAAGTTGCTTGGAGGTTGGTTCTCCCCTGCTGGACATCGTTCTTACTGAGTCGGCGGCAGAATTGGCAGGCTCTTTGCGCCCAGGAACCTGGCTGTGCCTTGTCCGAGTGACATGGGAGTGCTCCTGACAGTCTTCGTTGTAAATCATTCATTCGCTGGACAGGGTGTTTCTCTCCTGCTTGTCACTTGTTTTTGAGTCAGGTGATGTAGTTACTATAAGCAACGTGGTCGGCTCAATCCATGCCACTGTGTGCTTGGCTTTTGAACTCTTTTAAGGCATTAGATCTTACTTTCCTTGTATAAATATTATTACTATTTCTAGATGCTGAATGTAAGCATTAGCAGAGTGTATAAATTTCTAATAATAAGCATAAGTCACAAATTAGTTTAATCCATTTGTTCTGCATGGTTTCTCCATGTTACCTGCTCTGGATTGTTTTTTTGGTTTTTTCTTTCTTTCTTTTAGACAAAGTCTCACAATGCAGTTCAGGCAGGCTTTGAACTCACTTTGTAGCCCAGGCTTGCCTTAAACTCACAGCGATCCTCCTGCCTCAGCCTACTGAGTGCTGGGCTTACAGGCGTGCACCACCATGCCTAGCTATATCTTTTCTTTCTACTTATATAAGCTTTAGATTTGACATTTAAGTGAAATTTGTACTTGGGTATTAAGTTTTTGGGGGTTTTGTTCTGGTTTTGGGGGAGAACAGATATTTGGCATACTAAATCTGAATACCAACTATTTGAAATAACATCAGACAAAACAAGTTATAGCTTCAATATTTATTGAAGAAATAACTGAAGAACTTAATTTCACTGCAGAAATTAATAATTTGAATCTTTTTATATTACCACTAAAATATATCTAATTTTTGTTGAAGCTTTTTAGACTTTGGAGTAAATGAAAAAAACTCATATTTAAAATCTTGGACATGTCGCGCATGTTAAAGGTATGTTATTTGTTCTGTTGTATCCCCTGCAGATTTCCACCAAGAAAAGTGGATCTACGTTCACAAAGGAAGTACTAAAGAGGTGAGCACTATTAGGCTGCTACATGTAGCCGGAAAGGATGGGCTAGAAAGTTGGGAGGTGATGTCGCCTCCAGTCGCAGCTCTCTTCTGGATGTGGCAGTGATGAGTGGCCTATTCCTGGCCAGCCATCAGAGATTGGGGCTACAGAGAGAGTGCAGACAGAGTTGTTTGGTGAACTCCCCAGTCTTCAGTGAAGTCGTAAACGTGGAAATGCTGTCCCAAGATTAATAGGCCCATCTCAACTGTATTATTCTAAGCCCTGGATTTTCCCACAAACCCTCCCTCTGTTCTACAATCCACCTAGACTTCCTTGGTTCAGGTGTAGTCCTGGGAGGACTGTCAGTCACTAAATCCAGCAGTTTTCTGGGTCCACCCAGCATAAAATAGGAAAACAGTAAAATACGTTTACATGGTACTTGATAAAACCTCGTTGTGTGCATTTTCTCCCAGTGCAGGCATTCCGGTAGCTAGGACGCAAGGCAGTAGGGATGGAATGAGGGGGCTTCTGTGACCGCCAGGGACCAGGATTAGAGAGCATCTACTTCCCCTGTGATCAGAACCCCAAAGAGGGTCAGTGATAAATCTGAAACCTCTAAGTGGCTGGACTGGGGCCGCAGCTGTTCAGCTATGCTCTCGATTCTTTGTGCAGTCTTAGATAAAAGATCACAGCGTCTTTTGCTTCTTCATGAAGCCTTAAATAAAAAATACCACGTGTGACTATCACAGTGACAAAAGCACTGCCAGTGCAGGTCCGGTGGCGACATGGGTGCCACCTGTGGGCCCCATCCTCTTCCTGAGGGTGCATTCCTCTCAGGAGCCATCATGACCTCACATCACGTGAAGTATCTTTGCACAGTAGCATGCAGAGAGCATGTGCCCAAATGGTACAGGTCCTGAGAGGGGACATTTCATGGATTTGACCAGATTAAAGTAGCCGCAGGCTTTCTCGCCCACCTCGTGGGTCCCAGAGAGTCACAGTGCGGGAAAGAAGCCAGTTCCCAGATCACCCAAGACAGGCGTCCAGCTCGCTCAGCAGTCTGGTTGGGTCATCTAGAGCCTGCCGCCCTGCGGCAGGAGTCTCATGCCTGCATTGTTCCCCTCCCAGCGCCATGGCTACTGCACGCTGGGGGAGGCTTTCAACAGACTGGACTTTTCCACTGCCATCCTGGATTCCAGAAGATTCAACTATGTTGTTCGGGTAAGTCCCCAGGACCCAAGCCCATCTGAGCGCATGTGTTGAGTGGTCTGTGCAGGTAGTCTGGAAGGAGCTCCCCAGCAAACCTTTTGGGCTACTGAGAGTTTTGAGGCAAGCAGAAACAGACTCTCCGGCCTCTTCCCCAGCCCATTAGGTGGGTCCCGTGAGGATGCCTCTGTGAGTGACAGAGCAGACATGGGCTTCCACATCCCTCTGGGAGCTGTGTCCTCTAGTGTTGCCACTACCAGCTTACTCTGGATAAATGGGGCATGCTGTGGGCAGGAGCATCAGCAAGAGAGAATCCACAGAGGCGAGCCCTCACGCACACTGGCTGGCTCTCTCTCTCTCTCTCTCTCTCTCTCTCTCTCTCTCTGTCTCTCTCACATACACGCACACACACACCTTATTCTTTTTTTCTTTCCTTCCTTTTTGGTACCAGGGATCGAACTCAGGACCTTGCACTTGCCAGGCAGGTTTATGCCACTGAGCTGTCTCCGCAGCCCACACCCCTTGTTCTTACACTCCTCCTTGTCCCACTTCAGCTGACTGTGGGTGACCCCAAGGTGTTCTGGTTTAAGCCGCAAAGTTAGATGAGCTCAGAGCACCTCAGTGTGGTCTCTGGGCTCCTTTCCTCCTCTGTGCCCTTGGGACAGGAGCTCTCAGTCACCTGTTTACCTAACACAGGCCACCTGCCTTTTGGAGCCTATTGCTTTCCATTTTAAATCTTATTTTGGAAAATGAATGACCTTTAGCAAAATATTAATGATGAAGAAAGGAAGTTTGCCCTGGCTGGGAGGCCATTGATCCTTTTTTGGTGAGTGACCTGTTCCCTATCCCACCCTGCCCCCAGGCACCCTTGAGCGGCTGTGTTGGTGATTTGCCCTGGGAGTAGCAGCTGTTTGGGTTTTAGGCTGTGAAGCAGGAGGGAATTTTCCCCTTGTGGGTGTTGTTTGGTTTGGTTTTTATTTTCTTCTTCTGGGCCATTGCGCTTCTCCGTGCCATGTCACAGTCAGATGATCGCAGCAACTCAGCCAGAGAGATGACATTCAAGCCCCCTTGAGGCCTGGCTCATTCACCTGTCATCTGGGCAGAGGCCGGCTGGGCTGTGCACACTGACCTGGCACACCAGGGCTGGGGGCTGCAGGAGCGGGCTGGGCTCTACAGCTGAGCCTTCCTGCCAACCCCAGTGATGCGAAAGCACCCGCTTGGGGCAAGTGCCCACATCAGCCAGCCCGCCTCTCAGGGGAAGGAGGTCACCCAGCCCTCCCAGGGGCTACAGACTGGGTGGCTGGTTGGCAGTGGGCCCGGGGAGATCTGGAAACTTCTGCTGCTAAGAATACAAATAGTTTCCATCTTTGTTGGAGGAAGACACCCCGATCTGATGTCTCATCACAAACTGATCATCAGAATGGGCTGCTTTTAGATGTTTTTCCTTCCTTTCAAAAGAAATAAAGGAACAAGGATGTAATGATAAAAACCTATTTCATGTAATTATTGCTCACCTTCTATTCTTTCAACAACTTGACACAGTGTAGATAATTTTATTATCTCTGGGTCAAGAAATGGCAGTACAGTAAATGACTTACTTGAAGTCCCAGCAACACGTAAGGGACACAGTACAGGTTGAAGCCTGGACACTGGTCAAGTCCACGCTCTGAGCTGTCCTATTCTGTACAGTCACATAGGGGAGGTCCCAACCCCACTCATGTGCAGCTCTTTCAGCCCCCTGCTGACTCGGTGTCCTCTTCTGTGAGAGGGGCTGGCCCAACTTCACAGGGCAGCTGTGGAAGTGGGGGTACATGATACGTGTGCATACTCTGCGGACGAGGATAGCTTCCCCCTAAAATGGCTTTTTGGGTCAGTTGATAAAATTGTTTCTGTGTTTGAAAAACCTAGCGATTAACGGAAGCTAGCACATCATTAAGACAGAGCTTGTGCCTCGCGGTATCCAGTTGCACCAGGAGCACTCTCCTTTAAGGAATCTTAGATTCAAAGAAACTACTAAATGCTTTCAAAATTGATAGGTTTAGAAATAGTGGAAAAATACTTCTATTTTGGAAAGAACAATTTCTCCCCCTTCACTGTTTGAGGCCTCTATAATTTGAGAAATAATATGTTATTTTTATAGAGAACTTAAAACATTTTAATGATAGGCAGCGTGTCTTGAGGTTTTTCTTCTTAGGAGCTCAATATACTTCTCATATATTGTCCTTAACCTTAAACCAACCCTACAAAGCACTGTAACTAGCCAGCGTGTTATCCTTTCGCTACTACTTTGACCTAAAGTTGTTTTAGTGCCACATGTTTGCTTGGTTTCAGAAAGGAGCTAATGGGGAGGGCAAATGTGAGGAGGATTAACATTTTTTAAGGCCAAAGCACATCTGTAAAATTTGCTTATGTTCATGCCAGTGATCCATCACTCAGGAAGAGGTGTGTATCTCAAAATGCTATCTTCGTATCAGCATGCAAATGGCAAGGAATCTGGGACATTGAAGGTTTGACTGTACATTGCGAAGGTTCTAGATGATATTTATGTACTATTTTAATTAGCTGCAGACTATGTACACTGTTCCTGATCCTTTCCCTATCCACTCCCAATGAATTAAATTACAATTTGAGCTATGTGTTTTAAGGATGATTCAAATTATTTAGAAGCAGCGGTTTGTGGAAGGCCACTTACAAAAATAGTTCACCTTGTGCCTCAGGGCCAGAGGCTTCCAGGGGCTGAGCCAGTCAGAGCAGTGGTGGCTGGCAGGCAGGAGAAGGCACAGAGGCCAGAGCATCTGTGGCCACTCTTAGAATCTGTCGGGGGCGTGCTAGAGGAGAGGGGAGGCCCAGCACCGCAGCTCTGGTTAAATTAGGTGAAGGTCCACTTTCAGAATATCTGCCAAGTGCTCTCGGTGAGTTTGTAGGTTGTAAACTACCTCAGAAATAACTGCAAGCCTAAAATGATGTTGCTCATCTGTAATCCCAGCACTCGGAGGCTGAGACAGGATGATCAGAAGTTTGAGCCCAGCCTGGGCAACTTAGCAACTTGGCAAGACTGTCTCAAGATAAATTTTTTTTTTAAAAAAGGACTCAGCTGAGTACAGAGGGACTGGGTTCAATCCCCAGCACCACAAAAACAAACAAACACAAAATGACTTTGGAACCCAAATGTTATATTTTGCATAATGAATTTTTAAACAAAATATACTGAGGCATTAAATTCTGAATGTGATTTCTGTCCCACGTCCTGCAGTCTATCAGAAAGACAGCAATGGAAGAGTGGAGTGCCCTTCTCATGCCAGCCCAAAGTTCAAAACTTACCAGCTGTGACACGTTATGCAAATCAGTCATTTTACTTCTATAAACTATGAAAAGGGCTAACCAGACCTGTTAGGTTGAAGGATTTTTGTAAGAATGGAAAAATGCAAAGGGAAAATCAAAGTAATGGATGTGAAATTTTTCTCCAACTTTCAAACTGTGCAGATAACTTCCAGGGATCGCAGAATGACTATGTGGCTTTTAAGTCCTTTCAGTCTCCTGAGTGAGCCCAACTTCTGTTGTCCACAGTGAGTCTCTTGAGAACACTGTATAACCGGGCTGACGATTAGGATCAGCACTGAGCCGCGCCATAACAAAAAAATTTACGGGGGGATGGAGACCCGTTAGGTGTGTGTGCTTAGTGAGTACCCTGCAAAACAGCCGCAGCTCGAACTCAGACTTGCATTACTCTGAAATCTGCCACTAGCCAGTGAGGAAATGAAATACAATAGATAGGACTCGATCTCAAGGTCTACGGCAGGCCACGGCGAACTGCTGATCCTGGCCCCATACTGCCTGGCTCTTCTGTCTATGCAGACTACATGGGTTATACCTTTTTTCAATATTTTAAAATTTAAAAAACCTATTTCATAACTCATAAAAGTTATGTGCAGCTCCGATTTCAGCATCTTTACTGGCACCCAGCCACACCCAATTTGGTGTTGAGCAGCAAAGCCCAGCTCACCTGTAGGCCTAAAATACTTCCCACCTGGCCTCTCTCAGATGAGCCCTGTTATGCCTTCTAGTAGGTAACCTGAGAAACACACACTGAAGGAAGTTACCTACGCCGTCACCAAAAGGCAGAATTTGAAATTGCTGAGGCTGGGGGCGGGGATGGCACAGGCCTGTAATCCCAGCACTCTGGGAGGCTGAAGCAGGAAGATCAAAAGGTTAAGCCCAGCCCAGCCTGGGCAACTCTTAGTAAGGCCCTGTCTCCAAATAAATTTTTGAAAAGGCCAGGCATGTAGCTCAGTGCAAAGGCCCTGGGCTTAATTCCAACTACCACAAAAAGAAAAAAGCAGAACTGTAGTAGAGCCAGATGCCTATGAAAAGTTTTTTTAAACTTTTAAAATTTTTATTAGTACATGTTTATGGTACATAATAATTACATTCGTCGTGGGGAGTTTCTCCATAATACATCTTAACTCGTTTTACTTCCCTTCTCCTCTCCTTTACCCCATCCCCAATCTCTCTTGGTTCCCTTCCTTTTTGCAAAAGATCTATGTCCTTGTTTTCTGTTATCTTTTATTTTTCTCTTTAAATTGCTTCTGTTTGGGGTTTCTCGGTTAGCAGAAAGCACGTGAGGTTGAGCGTGTGTCAGATGCGTCAGATGCCAGTGGAGTGTCGGAAGCGGGATGGCTGCAAGTCTGAGAGAGACTTCTGGGGAGAGGCGGGTGTGAGCTGGCCTTGAGCAGGGCAGAACCCGGGAGGCTGAACGGAGATGAGGGCACGTCCGGTGTGGGCAGCGACCAGGGGCCGAGGAGCGCGGCGTGCTCTGGGGCGCAGGAGCCGCTGTGGGGCGGTGCCACGCACCGGCTTAGGGATCTCGGATGAGCCTCCCTCGGCTGCCTTCGCGATGACAACGTCGCAGGCAGGCCCCGCGGAGGTGTGGCTAACACTAACGGACGGTAGCTCACAGCGCACTGATGGCGTGGTGAGTGTGCGGGCATTGGTGACGACGGCTCATCCCAGTAGCG